AGGTTTCATGATCATGATAAGCATGACGACCCAATGAAAGGAACCGATAGCGGGACTATTTTCCTTGGAAGATGTTTCTTACATTAAGTAATATAACATATCTCGCAGTGTACCTTTGTTTTTCAAACCGTATGACTAGATTGCCTTGTTTGTCGTAAATCTTTGCTCTCATGAAGGCTTTATAAAGAAGGACAAACACTCCTTGGCTGCTGGCCGAGGAGGTGGAAGCCGATAGTCGGTCAACAAAGTTTTGTACAATGTGAATCCGAGCATTAATGATGTAAAATACTTGGATACATAAGATCATAAATTGCGAGTAAAGTCGATTTATTGCAGCTCATCTTTTAAAGACCAAGAGAGCAACTTACATAAAGCTCTCCTAAATCCCAAATGGCATCGATTTCCTATCTATTAAGCCCCTTGGGGTCAACCTTGGCGAGCCCAGCTTTCGCTGGCTCTAGCTCCTTTAAGAGATCTTTATTCTCTTTTCGAGAAGTTTGTGTTAAACACAACAAAAAAAATTCACACGGATATCGATCCTTAATTCGGCCACCCGTGCCCACATTAAGGCTCGGGGGCTACTGGGCTTCGCGCTCATTATTTATAAATAATAAAGGGGGACATCGATCCGCTAATCTGGTGTTTCCACCCGACCAGTGTCTCGGGGGCTACTGCGTTGCCTGTTCAGTGCAGAAAATTCAAAGTGCTTAGTGTTCGGCTTGACCGAACTATGGGCAAACGCGTCTTCGGACAACAATAGGTACCATCTGGACCTATCTGGCGTCAAGTTAATATATTGCGACAACTTCTCAAAACCCTCTCTCAAGGGCCCGTTCGCCGATCACTATTATCTCTAATATATTATATTGCGTTTCTAATTCCTACGTATGCTGCCGAGCTAGGAGTTGATCCTCAGGCCGATTTCGCAAATCGACCTGAGTCTTAGGGGCTACCGGGATCAGCAGTTTTATGTTTTCCTTCAGGTGCACTTCGGGTTTAGACCAACACACACCTTAAGGGCTACCGAATATACATATACTGGCTATATATCTCAGCAGAGAGTAAATTGCACCAATCAAAAATATTCACAAAAATCAGCCCGTGGTCAGGGTGGTGCACCACCTCGGAAGCAGTCCGACATAAAAGCTCGGGCGCCAGTGGCTGGCTCCATAGAGGGCATTTCCGGCATTAAGCTCGGCTGAATTCGTTCAATCTTTTAAAAGACCAAGGTAGTTTACGACACCTCGGACGCTGACCATCGTTGGAGCTCGGAAGTGGTTCGGCATAAAGCCCGGAATCGAATGGCTCGTTCCATAGAGAAATTTTCAACGTTAAACTCGGATAACCTCCTTCAAAAAATTTCAAGCCAAGGTGATCTATGACACCTCGGATATAGTCTGGCATTGGAGCTCGGATATAGTCCAGCGTTGGTGCTCGGCTGCAAAAGATATCTCGAATGCAGTCCGACGTTGGAGCTCGGATGCAAGAGGACACCGCCGCACGGGAACAACTTCAAACCCGACGTGTGGCGTGAAAAATAATCCTAAGGCATTGATAAAGGCCGAGAACTTAAAGGGGCTCCTTAGATACCCGATGTGTAAACACTTCGGATTCACTTCGGTGATCCTCAAGATCGAAGACGAGAAGATTTGTTGAACCAGTTTTCAAGACCGACGACCGAAGATGAAGAACAGTTCGGAAGGATCGAGGAGCGTCCCCAACTTGAAGACCGGTTCAGGGGGCTACTGACGGTGTCTTGGACTAGGGGGTACTCACCACATCCTGTCCTGACCAGGTGGATCGGGCCGAGGACCCCCATGGCGTTTCACTCATGGGCCACTTCGGGCAGCCCATGCCGCATACAAGGAGTATTCCACAAGACTTGGTGATCAAGACAAGGACTCCTCTCCACCAACGTACTCGGCTAGGACTCTTGTTATCCTAGGCCTCTGGTGCATTATATAAGCCAAGGCCAGGCTAGTCGATAGATTATTATGACAATCATACAAGCTAGACTTCTAGGATTTAACCATTACGATCTTGTGGTAGATCAACTCTTGTATTCATCAAGATCAATCAAGCAGGAAGTAGGGTATTACCTCCATAGAGAGGGCCTGAACCTGGGTAAATATCGTGTCCCCTGTCTCCTGTTATCATCGACCTTAGACGCACAGTTCGGGACCCCCTACCCCAGATCCGCCGGTTTTGACACCGACAACATCTCCCCATGTGCTCTCAGACATCCGTAGGTACTCGTCCCATGAATCAGCGGCCATACCATATGCAAGCATCCGGAGTGCAGCCGTGCTCTTCTTGTAACTAGAGAAGCCAATTGTTCCCACGACATCCTTTAGGATGAAGTCGTCATCGTAGGACCAGACACCATGGTACAAACGATCGAAGATAGTCTTGCGGATCCAAAAACTCCGACGAAAATGGTCAACAAATAGTGTATCGGGGGCAAAGTAGTCAACCATAAGTGTCAAATGCCCACACGCCCTGTTGCGGTTGAGCACTCGATGACCCTTGATCAAACCCTTGAAATTGAGAACATGCTCCTTCGCACGCTCGGCATCTTCAAGGACTGCCTGCATCATCGCCATCTCATCGGAGTACTACTCAACATAATGCTCGTATATGTACTCCAAATCGGAATTCATTAAGGGACAATTGTTTTCAGCTCCGACGATTCATCAAACAGTTGCCGGGCACGGTAGAGGATGGTACCTGGGGGCGTTTGGAAGACAGGGGGTTGAACGGAGACGGAGGAGAAGTGGCGAAGAGCCCTGATGGAGCGCTAGAGGTGACGGAGACGCAGATTTCTGGCAGGGGTGTGGCATAGTGGCCGGGGTGGTGGAGTGACGGCGGCGGCAAGAGAGAAAGAACGAAGGATAGGAAATGGGGAGGATGGAGTCGTGGGGTCCGGGAAGGGTTTTTGGTGGGCCTGGGGTGTCGGATTCCTATGTCTCGCGAGTCCGGACTCCCGCAAAGCTTCCCCACTTTTGTCTCCATTTTGCAGGAGAAACTGCGTCCGGACCGATGCAGACCCGCGTTGGATGGCTCCCGTGGTCCGGACGGATGTGGGCAGTTTGCGGGTCTGCCTTGGAGATGCCCTTAGGCCCTATATATATGGATGGAGGAAGTAGTACTAATGTGTTTCGATATCAGGGCCCTGCGCAGTTACCGGATATCTTTTTTTAGGGCTATAGCTAAGCTTTATTGATTATAGTCCACATGAAGTGGTACACAAAAAGGATCATGGGAATGGATGAACCATAAATGTCACCCCTAATCAAGAGTGTTTGAAAACTTAACTAACTATCTCCATCAGTGTTTGATGCCCAACCTTCAAAAATAAACTTACAACTAACTATCATACCTTCCATTTTTCTAAGTTTTCCCCACCTATTTTCTTGTACAAATATTCATGGATTACTACAGCTCCATCTGCAACTCCACCGCACCATATACCACATGTAACTTCTCAATGTTGAAATATGTGTATTCTCACCCAAAGGTGATCATACAATATTTTGCTTTCCCTCGCGCGTAGGTGCTTAGGCCAACATTTTCCTCCCCTCCAAGCTCCATTGATTAGACCATAGATTCGCCACCCCCCTAACCTGCCGCTCCAATGGCTGGTGGCGGGTAGGAGAATCACGGTGCCTCGATTCTAGCTAGTAGTTTAGTTAGGGTCTTTTGGTCCTCGGGGGAGCGGCGCTCGGACAGATGGTGGCGATTCATCTTCGAGCTGGGATTCAGAGCCTCGATCCTCCTCAAATTTGTGCATCGGGACAGAGTCGACAGAGATCTGGCGTAAATTCCTCGTTGTCTCCTTTGGGGGGAGGGGGTAAGGGAGAGAATAGGGTTTCTTGTTTGTACGTGCACAAAAGGCGGGATATGTTTCAGGCACTTTAGATCAATTCAAGAGTCCAACCACTACAACTGCGGTTCCAAGGTGGGGCGTTGATCTTAAGCAGCCCTAGGAAAAAGGCTCGAAGCTTGCGAGCTAAGCAAGTAGCTCGCGCCTTGGCTCGAATCCTCTCGAACTCAAATAATAACTAGTCGAGCCAACCTTTAGTTTAAGATCGTTTATAGACCGAGTTAAACGAGACAATTTCACAAGTACTCATGTAACTCGTTAGACTCGGTACAAAAGATCAGCCACTCAACTCCCTGCGTCCTAGGCGCACAACACAAGGCTCAACCGCCCGGGAGACTCATACATCGCGCGCGACTATTTCTCTCCTTCCATCCCCAGTGAAGTTATAGATGACCGATTCCCCTCTTGTCTTCTCTGTTTCTTTTACCTGTGAAACGCGATGGCGGCAGTACCGTGTGTATGCCGCAACCCCACCTCTTCGGCCAGCGGCCTGCGCTTCTGAGGTGCGTGCGTCGGACACTCCCCGGCAACACTGCTCATCTCCTCCTTATCTTCCTTTAGTTCCTCTACTACTGATCTATGCTTGCATTCTTCTGTCTGACTTGTTGATGTTACCGAAGCTCGTACATACTTACAATTGTTTATGAACATTGTACATGCTCAATATGTACATGTTACATTCCCAAGTAATCGTTTTTATCATATTTGTAAGATTTTTTGTTCGTATCTTTAACAAGCTTATAACAAGCTAAACGAGCCAGCTTGCGAGTTATACAAGTCGAGCCAATCTTGGATTTGACCTCGTTACAGTAACGAGTCGAGTCGAGCTACCTCGTTAACGAAACGAGCCGGCTCGACTCGGCTCAAATTCCAGCCCTAATCCTTAGGGACAAGGAATACTTTTTGACTGTTATCGACAATGTCATGCCGACTCCAAGCCGACTACGACATTTTTTCTTCAAATGGGGCCTAGTTTGCAAATATGCCTAAGCCGAGGTGCCATTATGCATTTTGTGCAACCCTCGCCGATGTGTGTCTGGTAAAGACACCGATGAGAGAGCGTTCTACAAGAGCTTCCTCCTCTCCATTATTGTCAGCTGCCACAGGCACCACCACCATGGAAAAGCTGCTCACCGTAGTGTGTGTTTCAAGCCTTCTTCTAGCCACTCTCGCGGACGATGCCTCCTCCAGATCTTCTCTTCAGCACCCCTCCCCGGACAGTCTACAAGGTCGTGTTCTAGGTCGCAGAGGCAGAGAGGAACCGGCACACCACCACCATTACCGGCGTGAAGGCGACCACGAGGAGCAGCATGAGGTCAGTTCATTTTGCCCCCACCAAGAAATTCAGAGACCCCAAAACAGAGTTTCCCGTGTAATTTGAGCAGAGACTCTGCAGCTGTCATTCAGCTGTGTACCTGTCTCTGAACGAAGCACGCACCATTTTCTGCTCAGAAGAAATTTGCTTTGTTCAGAAGAAAATGTATGGCACCATCAGAGTTTTTTGACGACGAAGCACAAGTGCAGGTTGTGCCTATGGGAGTGGAGAGTGTTGAAGAGAGGAGGAAGGCGGGCTGGAGGAACGAGGACGAGGAGGCGGTTGCGACGGAAGGGCTGATCTCCAGCGCGGACTACAGCGGCGTGGCCATGCACGGCCACAGCTCCCCGCCGGCGCACAAAAAGCACCCCAGGCCATAGGCCTTCCGCCTCCGGATATTATTCAGTTCGTGTGTAATCTTGTCCGGTTCAGTTTCCAGTTCTTTGTGCCTTTAGCAAAGTAAGTAGGCCGGTTTCACCGAATTGGGGTATCGGGAGCTCCTCGCCGTCTCTGTAAAAGATGCCAAGTCCACGATTTTATATGGATCTTCCTTAAAAAGAAAAATCGAGATACATAGTTGTGCCTTTGTTGCTTGAGGCCGGGATGGGTGTGCACTCATTGTGCTTGTATCCCTCAAACTGTGCTCGAATGGGCTGAGAGACCGTCTGCAAACGGAGCGCCCTCCTCCACAGTGGTCATAGCGGCGTCTGGCAGCCTGGGGACACTGAGATCTACAAACGGCCCAAGTTTTCCTTTCGAGCAACAGGCAAGAGCTCTGTCTTTTCATTAAGAAGAAGATAAGCTAACTTGGTCAGAGCCCATTGATTTTTGTATTGATTCACGGATCAAGAGAGATCGTTGATATCAGGCACAACTCAGAAAGAACTATCAAGATGGCCGAAAACCGATACGCCTGCGACAAGCGCACACACGCCGGGCCCAAGGCTGCGCACCAATCGAGCAGACGGACCAAGTTGAAAGCAGCACAAAGAAAAATCCTTTGTGTGATTCATTATCCTTATAATAACGTAGTTCTCCGAATGGACTCAGGTACAGGGATTGTACAGACCCAACAGATCAAATGGACTCAGTTCAAGCGAAAAAACATGCGGAGCGGTTCTACAAACCGTGAAGATTTTGTACAGACAGTGCCCCGACGGAACCACAGGATCAACAAGAATGGACGACGGAACCGCCGATTTATTTTCTTTTCCCCAGAAGAATTCGGCCTTTTCAGGTCCTTCATACCTTCAGCGCCAGCTTCTTGGCAGCGAGGGCCTCCGCCTCGAGGGTCGGCTCCCACAGGATCGTGGTCTCGGCCAGCAGCGCCGTCACGGTGTACGGGTCCATGTTCGACGCCGGGCGACGGTCCTCCAGGTATCCTGTTGGGCAACAAGGTATCGTTTACAGTTCAAAGATGCAGATTACCAAGCTACGGCACATAGGTGCCAGCAGACTACCAGTATAATATATGCAAGAGGTTTATTTGAATTTTATTTGGGTTGTCATAATTCCTTTTCTGCTCCGCAAGAATTAGGCTTGCCCAATGTACTTGAGTTTTATTTGGGACATCATAATTCTTTTTCTGCATTCCCAACCATTGCAATTAGTTTTGCAGAACAAGGGGGAGCAAATACCTTTGCCCTTTGCCTCGGTCTCTCGGCCCACACGAATAGAGCAGCCACGGTTCGCAACACCCTGATAAACAAAGTGTTTTGATTAGCACACCATGTAAATAAACAGGAAGGAAAACACAACTAATATAGAAAGAAAGGGTTTGCTCCACCCATACCCATGAGAAGTCTGAAATGCTAGCTGTCTCGTGTAGCCCTGTCAACCTCCGCTCGTTTCCTTCACCATATGCGGCTATGTGCAAGTCATGGCGAAGTGAAAGGTTCAGGATTGCCTTCTTGATCACGTCGAAACCTCCATCTTCGCGCATGCTCAGTGTACTACATTTGCAACAACAAGAAAAGATTGTTGTTTCTCACTCGCAAATTAAGGACAAGCTGTATCAACCAATTGAGAAAACTACTCCATAAGTTAGAAATGAAGTGTAGTAAATACATGTCTATTCTGAATAACAGTTGATAACAATTTAAAAAATAATCAACACTGCACATTCAGGCCCTGTTTGAAATACCTTAGTATTTGAAGGAACATTGTCTGTTAGTATCAGCATATGTTTTCTTCCCACAAAATCTCCATTGTATTTACTTCAATACAGCTATAATAGGTTTTCTGATGTTTATTTAATATATACAGGTTTCTCAAAAAAAAAATACACACGACAAGATATAATTGTAGAAGTTATGCAGGATAAATAAATATTAACAGAAAAAAGTGGAACCTGTAATTTGTGTGGCAGCCAGCTCCATTCCAGTCACCCTACATAAGATCAATCTTCAGATTACCAAGTTCTAATATATAAATTGCTACAAACATCTTATAGGAATATACCTGGATTGGTTTTGGGTCAAGGGTGAGCACCACACCAGCTTGCTCCGTGATTCTCTGATTACGGTGAGTAGGATGATAATTAGAAGTGCTTACCAATGGGAAAATTGATAACAGCAAAAGGATGATCACTTGGTCAGTTATCGGATCTGATGTTTTAGTGAAAACTGGTTTTATGGTATTTAAGAAGGGAATTCTTCAGGGTGTCAGAATAAATCATAAACTCACAGCACATGCACCTACCGAGTCTACGATAATGTAACAAACCAGTCGACTTTTTAACCATATTCTCATAAATAAGAGCAAAAAAAACCAAAGTTCTGTGATATCAGGCCATCACGGAACAATGGATAATTGTTCGAAGTACCTCGAGAATGTATCTTGAAGCCCATATGTGGTCTCCCGCATCAATACCAACGCTAGGTCCAACCTGGTACTCCCACTGCATGAATACAGGTTGTGAATTTTCACTTATTAAACAGTTCGATTTTCTTTTAAAAGAAGAGGTCAAAAACATCACACTGATTCACACATAACAAGAATAATACATGCACCCATATAAATACGGAGGCATACCTGACCAGGCATGACCTCCCCGTTTGTTCCACTGATTTCAATTCCCGCGTAAAGGCAGGCCTTGTAGTGAGCATCGGATATGTCACGGCCAAATGACTTGTCTGATCCTACGGCGCAGTAGTATGGACCCTGCAACATTTCAGCACGAATATTACTACTCGGTTGTGTTTAATGAAGTGTATATTTCAGTTAGCCTGAGATTAATTGTCATCTGGTAAATCAAGCCTCTTGATGCAGTACCTGGGGGCCAGGGTACCCTCCAACAGGCCAGCCAAGAGGCCAGTTCACATCCCTCTGCATCAGAGTGTACTCCTGTTCGATTCCAAACCTAGAAAAGCAAATGTTTCAACTTCGTGTGCAAACAATAGCAGGCTTTTATATAGGCAGAGGTTCTCAAATGCACTAGTTACCATGGCACTTGTGCAGTGACCTTGGGGTCACTGAAGATTTGTGCAGCCATGTGTCGCTTGTTAGTAGGGATGGGTTCCCCTTGTGGCGTGTAGGTGTCACAGATAACCTGAAAAAACCAAATCCCGTATTAACTAACATGCCAAAATACACATGTAACCAGTAAAAGTGACCACTACTATTAATCATTTATTCATGATTAGCATAAAGCACGTCCAGATGAAAGGTACCAGGATGTTGTTGCCTCCTCGGAATGGGTCCTTGAATATGGCCTGTGGGCTGAAAGCAGGACAGAAAAACATGAACAGAGTTAGCAAAAGCCAAAATCCAGAATACTCTGTATGTGCAAGGCTGAAGAACACATGGACAGCAATTTCCCCCTTACTATAGAATGACTTCACTGTCTTCTCCAGGAGCCTGCCCGGTGCTCGATCCGTCATAATTCCATTTGGGTAGCTCTGACGGGTCCTCCACTGGCTTCGAAATCGTCTGAAACAGTAGCATTGCATTTTCTTGTCAGCAGCAAAAATAGAAAGTAGAGCAAACAGTACTCCGCAGTGAACTGCTCATCCCCTAAAACTTCTGGAGAAAATGATGGCTGCTCATCCCTATAAGAACGCTACAGAGCGAGTACAAAGTATGTACTCCCTCCGTTCCAAAATATAGCGCGTCCTCGGTTTCCGTGCTTCAACTTTGACCATTAATTTAATCAACAAGACCGACTGCGGCGGGCGAAAAAATTATACCAATGAATTCGTATTCAAAAAAAGTTTTTAATTATATAATTTTTGATCCCGCCGCAGTCGGTCTCGTGGGTTAAATTTATGGTCAAAGTTGAACCTCGAAAAGCGTGGACGCGCTATATTTTGGAACGGAGGGAGTATGCAAGGAAACATCGATAACTGTGATGACCATCACGCTATCGAACGCGTACCCTTGATTTGCTTCTGAGGTCAATTCCAGATCCTCCAACCCTGCAGAATGCGAAGAGAGAAAGAAAAGAGAAAAGGTCAGTTTTGTTAACAGTAAAATGCTACTAGAAACATAATAGTGGTGCATGCCATGCCATGACAGGATCGACTCCTGGTTGCACCCCAAAAGTGGGGTGTCCAGTCCCCTGCATCTTATTCAAGTGCCGGAACTAAAAAGGCAAAAGCAGTGAGTGAGTCGTCACAAATCACCCACCAGGCCTTGAAAGCTTTTCCTAATATTCGCAGTGAGTATCGACTTTAAGGGTGCAAATCCGCACTGCACTGCTCCCTCCGTGCTAATCTAATCTAATCTAGTGTAATCCCGTGAAAGTGCCGTCTTGGCCTATCCCAAGGTGCTACTACCACAGTAGTACCACTGTGCTCTCATGGAAGTCAATCAATCAATCTATGGAAGCGAAGATTGATGCGCCTGACGAGAAAACAGCGGCGACATTTGCGGCGAAGGGCGCGTAGCAGTGCGCGCGTACCAGATGTACTCGGCGATGATCTTGTCGGTGAAGGGCGTGGTGTCCATGTCGAGCAGCTGCTGCATCCTCTGGATGACGCCGGTGGTCTCCGGGCCGAGGGCCAGCACCTTGAAGCCGGAGGTGGCGCGGGCGGTCCTCCTGACGCCCCACACCCTGCCCGCGGGCTGCCTCGCCGGGACGGCCGACCTGCCCCGCACGCCCACCTGGCACTGCATCGCCGGCACCACCGCCTGCGCCATCGCCGCTGCTTACTTACTTACTCCGCCGCCGCCTTCCCCTTCAGCGCTAGCTGATCAACCAAACCAAAGCAGCGCCATTGCGGTTGATCAGCGAATGAACGCAACAGAGATTGAAGAAGCCGGGTGCTCCAAGAAGCATTGCATCGAGGAGTCCGCGGCACTCACCAGAGAGACGGACAAGCACGCGGACGAGACGAGGGGGGAGAGGATGGAGGGAAGGGGAGGCGACCTTGCGAGGTCGCGCTGGAAATATTATTTATATTTATGGGAGCGGAGGCCGGTGGTACAAGTAATTTAGATTGCGGGGGAGATTCTAGTGGCCGCGGCGCGGGCAGTGGCATCTGGCTCTTGATTAGGCGATAGGGCTCTGGGTGGACGAGATTTGAGGCGCCCCTTGCAGCCGCACCGGAGGCAAACCGGTCCAGAAACCAAGCGCCGTCTGCCCAAAGAAGGCACACACATCTCGGATAGAGTTTACAATGTTCCTTCCCTCTGGCTCCGGATATGAAATGAAAGATGCGGCTGCCTCTCCTTGTCACGTCCGTCTCCCGCCCCAGCCCAAGCGACCTCTCCAACCAAACCCAGCCAGATGCATCAGAGCGGAGCAAGACCTGCACTGCACCGCAACGCAAGCAAACTATGTGCTGTGCGGCGTGCGTGTCTCATTGACCCCGGGGCCAATAATTGGGGGTGTAGCCGTATAGGATGATGGATGGATGGACCCCTTTGTCAGGTGCAGCATGTCTTTGCGCCGGGTGGCCTGTCATGGGGGCACCCTAGCTTGGTCCACTTCCAGTCGGGCTGCCCGGTGCCGGGGACGGACGGACTAGCAGTGACACTGTGACAGCGCCCAGCAGCAGCGGTAGCACACATGGGCTGCCTGTACTTTTGGCCCTGCCTTCTTGTGCAAGTGCAACCACACTAGTAGCCTAGCAGGCGAGTTTATCCTCCGTCGTAGAACGGCAAAAGTGGAAACCACAAACTACTCCAGGTTGCACGACCGAGTTAACAACCAGTGATGCAACGGTCACCGCCTTCGGAGTGTGTGTACAGGACAAACTGTTCGGCAAAAATGGGGGGGAACTCTGGAGCAGTCACCCTCCATGCTTCCCGTGCAACGCAAGCATGCCCTTGGTGTACCGCGTCCGACCCGCCCGATACAAAACGAGCAGCGCCTCGAACTCGCTGCAAGCGTCGTCGTACATGGCACGCCTACAGAACCTTGACTTGAAATCGGCGAAATCGGCTGAGGCTCGCTCACGATCGGAGCTGAACATGTCAAGAAGCTCTTCCAAGGGCCCCAGGACGTCGCAGAAGTCGATCCTGCTGCTGCGACCGTGCTGCTGCTGCTGCTGTGGGAGATGCCGGAGCCAGCACATCCACTGGAACGGCTCATCGTTCCTCTCCTTGACCGCGAGCTCAACCGACCTCAGCGCATCCTCAAAGCCGCAGTTCCTGTCGATGTTGTCGAGTATCTCGTCGAAGATTGACCTATGGCTGCTTCGGACAGATTTACTGGATGATGGGAGCTTTGCCGCAACCATGCACGTCTTCCTGAGTGTAGGATCCTTGTCCGAGAGCAACCTGATGGCCACATGCAGCAGGAGAGCAAACAATGGAGCTTGTTCTTCCATCCTGGACTCGACAGATCCAGAGCTCCCCACAAGTTTCTGCTCCTCCAACCAGCAGTGAAGAGCAATGTGTGTGAACCCTTCCCACCTGTAACAAAGGTAGAGAAATGGTCAGAAACAGAACCTCTAGACATGCAAGCCAGGAATGCCTTTTATATTTTAGACAGGAAGAATACTCACTCAAAGGGTAGCTCGACCTCGATGGCAAGGGTCAAATGGAGCGAGTAATTGGCGGATGCATTGACTTCAGATTCACCTTCGTCAATGTCAGTGCAAGCCTCGTGCACATGGCCTCTAGGAACATACATGATGTCTCCTTCACGTAAAACTTCCACCCTTCCACCACGATCATCCACCAAGCCATCTAAAGAGTGAAAAGGTTCATATAATCTAGGCAGAATTGACTTTGTATTGGGCCAAATCTTCCATTTCTTGCGTCCAAGTAGTTGCCAAACAAGCACACAGTGGTCATCATAGTGCCGGGCCAGACCTTGAGATCTTGGGGGTGAGAAGTATATGTTGGCCCCTACAGAAGGCTGACCAAATAGATCAGCTAGAGCAGAAGCTATAGCAGCAACCTTTTCAGACCGGAACTCCATGCCACGCAAGGCGATTGAGAAACCATTCCTGATTGCGCCCTTACATTTTTCAACAAATGCAGTTGCATCTGGGAAGACCGTTCCATCATCAAAGAAATGCTCCTCTATCCCAGATCCTGTTGAGGTCTGATCTGGTGTTCTCACGACTCTTACATCTTGCCTATACTTCACAGCAGCACCCAAGGAATCATGAACCTCATCGAGAAAGGAATTTATGTTGAGTTCATCCGAAGCAATAGCAGGGCAAGAAACAAGGTCCTGTATGAATGACTCAATGATAGCATCAGGTGTTCTAAGATCAAAAGCGTTATGCAATGCAGTGAACACAGCATCCCCCTCCAGACCACTTTGTTTCTTCCTGTACAAATAAGGTGAGTTTTCCCAGTACATCAGGGCAAACTTTTCAAAGTCAGATTCCGTTTGTCCAAAAAAGCTTTTTCTGACTTCATCAGGTTCCAGGTGGGCTGGATAAGCAAGATCCATCGAAAGCCTAAAAATAGCTTCAGATATCTCATATGGTCTGCTTTGAAGTTGATCCTTCCCGTTGCTGCAGTCAGCTGATGACTGTAAGAGTCTAACTTTGCTCCATACTTCATACAACAAATGCATAACTTTTCTAACTAGCTCCTGTTGAAGATTGTGTAACTTGTCGACTTTACAGGAGTTCACCATGAGCACCACTGTGTCAATGATCAAGTTCAAACATTTACTTGGCTCTGAAACCCTTGCTTGGCACCCGGTGCTCCCGCCACCGACAGCCCCAGAAATAGATTCCACCTGAGAAAATAGATACCTAAAGGAAATCAATTCCACTGACTGGAGATATTCAGGAAGTACAAGCAAAATAGTATCTCTTTCACCATTAAAACAGACTGCAATGCTAGGCTTCTAGATATAGTCAGAAAATGCAGAGTTAGATTATCATATGACAATAATTGCTGGCTGCATGGTTTTATGCCAAATCACTGCAGTCGCTTAATGTACAGATAGCTTAAGTAGTGAAGATGAAGGTTGGTTTTCACCCTTCTGGAGTTTATTCGCACTTCCACATATTCAAAATCTTCAGTGGGAAAACAGGGTAATGCATGAACACAACGAAAATTCAAGGATATACTACAATTTAAATCACTTTTCACTGGATCTCTGGAAGACGATTCATAGCAATCAGACAAACTAGAAGCTATGTTATGCTTTAACCTAGAACAGCAGGTTGGATGCTCACAATAGCCTCGGCAGAACAGGTGAGCCCGAGAGGTGCTCCCTGCCAATTGAAGACGCCGAGAGGTCCATCACGGCATTGCAGGCAGCCTCGGCCACTCGCTGGCTGCCACTCCCCAATGCCCGCGCCAAGCCACTGGCGATCCCGCCGTCGGATGCCAGCGCCTCGCCGGCCTCCATGGACTGCAGCGCCGCCGCGCCCATCACCTCGCAGCTCAGCGCGGCCACGGAATGCGAGCTGCATCACAAATCGGAAAACAAATTAACTGAGCAGGCTAAGACCGAGAGTGCATTGCTGCGAGAACAGAACAAAAAAGGAGAGGGCTCCCCTTTCGGTACCTGGAGGTGAGGAGGAGCGGTAGGAGCGCGACCAGGGGTCCGGGGAGAGGGGATAGCGGCGGCGAGCGGGGGAGAAGGCGGCGCAGGAGGCGCGCGGCGGTGGCGGCGGAGGAGGCGCGTTGGTTCGGCCCGGTGGCTGGCGCGACGGCCGCGAGGAGGATGGGGAAGACGTCGCGGTCGAACGAGGCGGCCGCCTCGCCGCCGCTTCTCTTCCTCCTCTTCTTCTTCCTCGCCCCGTCGGGATTCCCCATTCCCGGCGTCTCGCGACGGCTCGTGGCGGAGGCTGCGCGGCGACGGGGATTGCGGAAACGTGAAGCGTTATGCCGTGTTGCCTCTTGGTTGGCGGATACTGTGCTGCCTCGTGAGATTACGCTTTCTTCGAGAGCTGGCTGGTTTCAAGGGTAGCGCCAACGCAGTTGGACCTAAATTCATGGGAAATTACTGATGTTTTACGGACTCCTTCCTAACTACTCCCTTCATTCCATAATATAAGAGTGTTTTTGAAATATACTAATGTAAAAAACGCTCTTATATTACGGGACGGGGCTAGTAATTCTCTCTCCCTCTGGATTTCATGGGGTGGGCCTTTCCTTCACCTATTTCCAATCCTAAAGCTAGCTACATGCCAGCCATCCCGTTAATTTCATTGGGAGATCCTCGCATTACTCCTTTTTCAAACATGTCTTCCTTAAACCGAACCAGGCTGGTGAAGTTGGGCATGATGGGAAAGGCGAAACAACACGAGGGCCAGTTCGGAATTGAATTACTTCCTCCGTTCCTAAATATAAGTCTTTGTAGAGATTCCACCATGGACTACATACAAAGCAAAATGAGTGAATCTAAACTTTAAAATGCATCTACATATATCTGCATGTGATCCATAGTGATCTCTACAAAGACTTATATTTAGGAACGGAGGGAGTAGTAGTTTAAAGAAGGCACGGAAGCCGGTGAAAAACAATCGATGCATTCAAACTTCAAACCGTACGGGCCGTATTAGACAAATCAACACTATGCTTGCGCAGCGCGTGGAGCAGTTAACAAGCTCAGCCTTTGCGATCATGCCATTTAATTAAGGTTATCCGGCATGTTTTCTATAGTTTATCCTCCAAAGCAGCAGAAAGAAGAGCCCCATCACCATCATTCAGCAGGACACCTACCACACGCGACGGATGCAGCTCCTCTGACGTACGGTGCACTCGCTGACGTGTGGACCCGGACCCACGCGTCAGTGGCCCAACGTCAGGTGGCCGTACGTCAGGGGATCCGGCTCCACACGCGACACCTTGGGCGCCAAGAACACTTACCATTGGCTCTTGTTGCCTATAAAAACCGCCCCTTGCGCTTCTCCCTGTGCACCCGCAGCTCACTCACACACTGCAGTCCATGAAGCCTCGTTAGTTTATCCGATCCAGTAGCCTTCCCTCCCCGTGCCATAGCTTCTTGCAAGCTCTCCTTCCTCCTCCTCCTCTTCTGCATTCGCTTGTGTTTTTGGTCCGATTGCATGAGTTTCAATCGCATGGACCCTTAGTATATATAGATATCGTCTGTTTTGAGTTGCCAATTTGCTGTTGCTAAGTTCGGTTAGTGATGGTGGTATTTTCGTGTGGTTTTTGGCTTGGTTTGGCTTGGTTTGGTTTGGAGGACGATGATGGAAACAAACGAAGGCTCGCTCGCCGAACCTAACATGGCTCACTATGCCTTGATGATCAGAAATCGTGATGTGGACTGAGTTCTCCATGCACACACTCATTTTCTTCTTCTTTCTGCTAAGAACACTTCAAAAACTCTGTTTTTTCTGGACTTCCTATACCTCTCTGTGATGTCGTTCTTACGGAGAATTGGACCACAATCCATAAGTTTTCCGTTTCAGAAATTTGCAGGGACTGCATGGGGTGAATAAAAAACTATCGAAAAAACTACTCCTCGGCTTTTATTCCGCCTGCTTTTGTTTGTGAAAATAAATCTGCTTGAACAGATCCCTGCGATTCATGGCGATGCGGTCAATTCTGAAAAAAAAAAAAGATGCTAATTGTGATCCTCAAAAAATATCTTTATGTGATCAAAGATACTCAACCTTTTTTCCATGCAGGTTTCTTCTGGCCTAGATAAAAACCATGACGCCCATGGGAGCAACGCTGAAACTATACAGGACACGTCTGAAGGAGATAGGCATGCTACAATCCTGGGAGGACTAAATTCAGACATGCATGGTGGAGGCGTTGTCTGTGCCATCTTCTACTGGTCTGAAGCCTGAACCTGCCATTCTGTGTGTGGTTTAGCATCTTGTTTAGAAGAGGTCAAAATAGGATAGCACATCAACTGGCTAATTACAGTCGTATGGACTAGCTGCATGGTTGCATAGGGGGCCTCCGTGTATCAAGGACCTGTTGCCACTAGATTGTAATCATATTATCATGGAATAAAGTTCCCATTTTCCCCACAGAAAAAAAAACACAATGTACAAGGCCACTCATCAAAGTTTTTGTATGTACACAACACATTCCAGTAGAATTAAGTCTCCAGAGTCCACACACACACACACACACACAATCCAATAAAACATCGAAATTAAGACCCATCTAACAACTCAATTATACTTGTCATTGCTCAATTTCAGTACAACAATAATCGCTTACCTTGAGAGAGTTATGGATATTACATCACACTCACACATGGTTTGGCAATCCACAACAAGATACAACACACTCATCAGACCCAACACCGTCCACGACTAAACCACGATGAACGATCATCAGTTCATCACCAGCAAATTTATTGTTAAATCTAAGGCCTAGGGCACACTTCGTTCCTAAACTTTTGTTCTCATATCAGAGTACACTTTTCCTACTTCCAGTTTCTCTTCGTTTAAACCTTAAGAATCAATCAAGGCATGTACGTGTGTCATCACAGTACAACATCCACTTGAGAAGTTGAGAGTAACTCTTCGCACCTGCTTTAAGCAGGCCCACTACTCCCTTGCCCGTGAAAGAAGCGCACGACGACGCAGGTTATGTTGTCGCTGCTCTCCCGCTTGTAGGCCTCCTGCAAGAGCCTCTTAGCAGCTTCCTCTGGGTCTTGTATTGACCGGGTCATATCGACAGCCTCCTGCATTAGAAACGTTGTGTAGAAAGGGCATATCAGACACGTGGAAAATGATACAGGTCTTGAAATCCTTCTGTTTTCTTGAATTACCTCGTTAGAGACCACATCCCACAGCCCATCGCTTGCAAGGATGAGAAACTCCAGGGACTCGTCAACGATTTCCTCCTATGACCCAGCAAAGCATTACTAAACACGATCATCATTTATAAAGGTGAATATAAAGAACAAAATTTCTTAAGCCCCTCAAGACGGCATATGCAGAAAGAGAAGTAAGTAGTTCTTTTATTGGTACAGTGACTCACAAAGAGTCATGAAGATGAATGCCTGCTTACATGCATATGCAGTTAGAGAGAGAAATAAAATGAGAAACATTAAACACCCCAAAAGTTCGTACCTGGATCTCTGGATCCACAACTACATACTGCTTTAAGAGCTTGTCACCAAAAGCGCGAGAAACAGCAAGTACACCACCAACACGCCATGTCCCTATGGAACAGAAAACCATCATTAGAAAGGCAATCATATCCCATCCAGATAATTTGAAGAGAGTGCAGTGCACAGTACCTGCCCACATAACAAAACCTCCAGCTTCTTCAATACGTTGCCGCTCATCTGTCTGATCAGGCTTGTGATCTTTCGAAACAGGTACAGCTGTAAAAACCAGTACACCCCATTAAGTGAAGAACTGATAAAAGTATTACCACTATTTTACTTCCCATCGCATTGATTTGCCATCAAAATAACTTGAGTCTATTAGCCTATTGACTAGTTTAGTGTGAAAGAAGAATACTGGCATCTACAGGCAAAAACATCGCTTTCATAAAACGAGGCAAGCATTTAAGCCTTTAGGAAAGGCCTCCGTTAAAAACAAAATAATCATACATCCAGTCAAATACAAAATAATCGTATAACATGTTCTTAACTTTTACAAGCATGCACGAAAACATACTGTTGAGTAGATGTCTGTAAATGATGTGCTCTCAACCTCATAACACACATTTGTCCCATAATCAACTAAAACCTTAAAACCCAGTTACTAATGAAAAATATTGATCCATATTGTAATCATATAACTTTGTAGTAGGTTGGAAGTAGACCAAGTTTGTCCGTTCTGCCATATTCATTGAACAAGTCTTAAACGAAAATGCATGGTCTCAGAAAGTATGAAGTAAAAGCAATAAAAATATTGAATGTTGGTTACCATTTCCTGCCCTGCATATGATAGCCCTGGAGTCTCCAACATTTGCGACAAAGAGACGATCACCAACAAGTACAGCAGTTGATGCTGTTGACCCACACTGGTTTTGAGTACTGTCAGATTCCAAGAACTCACTGTCGGTACTTTTATAAGAATCATCTGCAGATAGCAATACAATGCAATGATTATGTTAGTTTTATTCACCCAACTCGGTAGTCGAGCGGATTAGTAACCAAAAGAACAAGGAGATACCTATAGCCACTTTTGTGTCACTCATGAACTTTGGATGCCTAAGAAGATGGCTGAAGAGGTTGTGTTTGACATACTCAGCTACTTTAGCACCACCATGACCTATAAAAATGAGCTGTGCATTTAGCAACCCTATTTGGAAGAAAATAGCAAATCTATTTGGCTTGTTCAACTTTAACTTCTTCATTGCGCCCCCTGTGCGTATTTTATATGTTCTTTTATCCATTAACCCCTTGATTAATGGTTTCTTTAGCCACAAAAACAACATACATTTGAAAGAGCAGAGAATTTTATGGTGCTAGCTACGCTATATTAGACAGATTAAAGTCCAACATAAGAAATATAAGTGTGATCTTTTGGCACATTGTGCCAAATGTGGAAAACGCCCTCTTATCGAAGTTCTAAGCTTAAATAAGAATTGGCCATGAACAAAAACTACGTGAAGAGAGATGATACATACCATCAAAAACTCCGAATAAACCAATAAGCTGTCCATCAACACTTTCAATTCTTGTCTCATAAAAGTCTTCCATGGAAGCCCTTTTACCCAGGGAGCTCGCATAACCATAGCTAAACCTACCATTCTGGCTGGCAGAAAAACAAATGAGAAATGCTGAGCAAACAGGTATAATAACTACACAGTAACAGCCCCAATTAACCGGTCTTTTAGCCGATAACAACATAACACAAATATGGAGTTGCTATATTACTAGAGATCCCATAGTACCATTCACAGAGTGGATACAAACATATCACTGTGTGTATCTGGATTGCACCACTACAATAGTCATATACTCGCGACAGTTCACTAGGAAGCAACTGCTACCAAAAATGTACTATCACCGAAAAATTTATTTGGAAGCAACCGCTATATATATGTGATTCCAGAAATGTTCCTCCAACCTGTACTGATCAGAGGTTGGCATTGGGAAGGACAAATAATTGAGCAGTTTTATGCGGCAACAGTCAACCACCAAACCAACCTGCCTAGTTAATGAATTGAGCAAAATTTGGGGGAGGCCATGGCCGCGAGCCAAAACGTACATATCAGACAAGCAGAGCAGAGCAGGGCAGACTCGGGAAGGGGGTCTGAAACGCACCAAGCCAATAGGACAGAACCTATGCCATGTAGTATTAGCTTGCGGAGCCACAAACGATGAAATGTTGTCTAAAGGAGCTGCCATAGCATGATGAAACTACACATGACTAGACCATTTATGCAAACAAGTATTATGTTCGTGTTACAAAAGGAGCCTTAGGTGGCTATCATGACTGTGTGTGTGGCTGGTGGTTAAGTGCAGCTGAGCCGTGCCGGTTAAGATTACCAATGTCAACTAAAAGTACCGTCTGTGCCATTCATTAACCTGCTTCCCCTGATTCTGAACCAATAGAAATAAAAGGCATCATTAAGGTTGTCTCAAATCTTACACTAGCATTCCCAACAGGACATCCTGGGCTATTTACCATCTCAGAATGCCAAGGATTCATTTGATCTAGGCGCCGAATAACCATGGATTTACTCAAGACAACAAGGTATATACTTAGCTCACTAGCATAACTATTCAGTCTCCTTATGAGTTAGGTGTCTTGACGAACGAAATTAGGTGTTGAATGTCCTATTTAAATAAATAAAAAAGGCACAACTCCAGCCAAAATGCGTCAGTTCCAAAGCGCAAACACGATTTTTTTTTTTTGGATGACCAATACAACACCATCCTTGGTTATCCAAGGGCAGGTGGCCGAACGATTATGAACTACATAGAAGGGAAACACCTCCTCGCTCGTAGCAGCGAGATCAGCACTACTCCATACGCTAAATCCGCGTGATGTTCCAGGCCGCCCATACGGCAAAATTGCGTGCCTGAACCGCAGTAACCGACGGGAACTACTGCATTTACCACCGCACGCCAGAGGCTGAGCCAGGGGCGTGCATGCGTCCCGAATCGAATCGAATTGACGACGAATCGGACTGCCACTAGAGCAATTCGAGCAGATCAAGCAGAGACAAGGGCAAAAGAGATTCCGGGGGTGGCTCCCAACCTGAGGCCGCCGCCGCTGACGGGCGATCCGTCCGTGGGGTGGCCGATGACGGTGCTCAGGTACCCCATCCCCGCCGGGGGCCGAGGCCACTCACCGACCCGAGCAGAAAGGGGGGTGACGCGAATCGGCGGAGAAACGGGTCAAATTTGGGGGATTTGGGGGGAGCGGAGACGGAGGGCGAGGGATTTCTATAGTGGGCGCAAGCTGCTCCTCCTCCTCGCCTCGTCGTCGGCTTTCTTACACTTAGGCCCTCGGGGCAGCGCGTAATTTCCTTGCTTTGCTGTCGGGGCCGTACCGCGTCGCGTCGCGTCGCATCGCATCACGCGGTGGAGTGGCGTGCGAGGCGCGACGACCGACCGACCGATCCCGGGCCCCTTTCACGTGGGAAGGGTTGGCGGTTCCATGCAGACGGGATTCTTCGACAAGATCGAGGATGGATCCACCGTCCAGAACCCGCAACCCCGAACGCTGCACGTCAGCCGGACATGCGCTTAACGGAATACTTTTTTTTTAACATCAATACAGACGCAAACGCTCATACAGACGCGCATACACTCATTCTTATGACGCACACACGCACATCCTATCTCTATGAGCACCTCCGAAAGATTGAGCCGGCATGTCATCTTGAAATTTACGAAGTCACCGTAGGCGCCTCGTCGTCGACGGAAACGTCTCCTCCTAATGAAAACGCATCGCTGAAATCCTGAAATAAATTTAGAAATAATGCAAATACTTTTTGGAGCGTTGGCATTTGCAGCCTCCACAAGTTGGTTCGCTAACGAAATACTTTTTGGAGCGTTGGCATTTTGCAGCCTCTTTTTTGGGGTATATACGGGGCGAACGCGGGCGAACGAGGCGCTACGCTTTGATTCCTGGCCGTTTCAATGTAATCCCGTCCAATCCTGTGTTTTTGGCTGGTATTGATGTCAAGCTAGTCGTTTGGCGTCTGGTTTTTTTTCTTTTTTTTTTTGCATGGACTTTTCTAACGAGTGCAATGCACATTCTTTAGCCAAAAAAATCAATTCGGTTAGCGCCTGAATAAGCACCCCATGTCTTGGGGCAGCAGACTCCTCTACATATTCAATTTTCTTAATTGATATTTTTTTAATATTCTATAACCGGCCAAACATGAGCCTCTCCATTGTAGATGGCCTTATAGCATCTTCAGTAGGTGTCGCTATGATAAGGCATGATCACTTTTTACATCACGAAGTGCCAAAAATAATGCTTCAATAGGTAATGCGCATGGCAAGCAACCAAGAGGGGGCCAAATTCATGCACGCTTGTGTATATATACATGAACATTGTTTTGGAACATGTGGAATTTCTTAAAAAGACATTAACACATTTTAGAATTACATGAACATTTTTTAAATAGATTGAACATTTTTTTAATTATGCGCATATTTTAAAAAATATGTGAAAACGTTCTTAATACTACATGAATAAATTTGCGAGAGGTGTGAACACTATTAACAATACACAAACATTCATGATAGGTTGAATTTTTTGTAATTACTTCATATTTTAAACATGTGAAACTTTTTAAATTTATATAAATATTTTTTAAATCATGAACACTTTTTGATACTACATGACTTTTTAAACATAAGGGGGGGGCACTTTTTATCAAACACAAGATTTTTTTATAAAATAGGTGAACACTCTTTTAAAATTTTATGAACATTTTTATAATATGTTAACACTTTTTAATTACATATGAACATTATTTATTACACGATGAACATCTTCAAATACACAATGAATGAATTTTAAATGTGCAACAAAAATAATTGAAAATGCTTTATGATTATATTTTAAAAATATGATGAACATTTTTTATACATGATGAATTGTTTTTACTGTGTATAAGAATTTGTTTTAATCTGAATACAACAACAGTTGTTAAAATACACATGAACAATGTTTCACAAAAAACATTTTATTTAAAAAACATATGTATTCACCCAAAACAATTGAAAACCCCGATAAAAAAGGTGACCGTTTGTTGCACTTTTTCTCTAAAATCCATTGCTACCTTTTTTTCGAGGAAGTGCCTTGCTAGTTTTTTTTTTGTTTTTTGTCTTTAGAAGAATGTGCCTTGCTAGCCTTTTCGTTTTGAGAAGAATGTGCCTTGATAGTTTTTTTGAGAGGTGTGCCTTGATAGTTTTTTTTTTTTGAGAATCAAGTGCCTTGATAGTTTTTTTGAGTCGGTGTGCCTTGATAGTTGTGCTGGGAGGAGACGCTCAGACGGGTTACTGGGCTTGGCCTTGTACCAGCGCGTCCCTAAAAGAAAGTTGCACTGACCGTCAGGCCGATTCCGAGACGCATAAGGACGACGGGAGGACCAGTTTATCGAGGCTGGTCAGTGAGGAGTGATTTAGACTAGTGTTATATATATGACATTAATCTAAGTTATTATTTTTATAGTGTAAAGTAACATAATACTAGTGTCACAGATGCCTTTTTTTATTAGTTTATAGACTCATTTTTTCTCGTGAAGCGCTATGTTACAGTAACATATTATGTTACTTTAAACACCTCTCTCCTCATTAACTACATGCCACATAAGCAAAAAAAAATTAAAGTGCGCTATGTTACTACGTAAGTTACTCCCACTATAACTAGCCTAATGGAGACCCGGAGCGACATTGGTGGCGAGGACGGCGATATGGAAGCGGGAAGGAGTGGCGGCGAGTCCCTGGGCCGGGAGGATCATGCCGCCGCACTCGAGACCCACGAGAGGATCGCCGGCAAGCCCGACGAGAATCATGTGTCCTGCGGGGAGGAGATCGTACATAGACCGGTTAGCAACATCATGCCGGAATTCGAACATGTCCCGGCACAGACAGAGACCAAGATTGGCGACGGAGGCCAATCGATCTCTAGCGAGATGGCGATGCAGGTTAGCCAGGAGCAGTTCGACGAGCTGCTGGCCGGCATCTCGACGTCCGTAGCCAAATCGGTCAGAAAGATGTCTGAGGCAGAGGAAGCGACCGCCGCGGCGGCGGCGGCGCGGACGGTCGACTTCAAACTAAGCCTGCTCTCCGGGCTGATCGATGAGCTGTGGGACGACGTGCGGCAGCTAGCCTCCACGGAGCCGAAACTTCTGGCGACGTGCATGCTCACACGCGAGCCCTTCGC